GAATTTCAGCTGCACGACGGAATTGAGCAAGTGAAGCTGATCGATAGACATCTAGTACGGTATCAGAATCCGTCACAACCTTGGCTACTAGATCTTCGAGCAACGACAGGTCAGAATCTGAATAAATAACTTTATTACAGGTTTTCTTTTACATTTACACGTTGACGACATCGCGCGTTTTGGCATTTTTGGCCGCGTGGGACCAGAGCGGTTCTGCGAGCGCCGCCGCCTCACAACAAATCTGTGGATTTTGAGCTTTAAATACGCAATACTTCGATGCGACAAAATGTTTTCACTGATATTCGGTGTGTCAAACTTATTGGAAGGTACACATGTGAAAGTGCGGTCGAAATGATGTGTTACAGCATTGAAAAGGCAAGTTTCACTTACTTTTGCTTTAGTGATTTCAAAATTATTTTGGACGTGGTTGTTTCGGTAAAAACACATATCTTGCCACACGAGTAGCTTTGTACTCACTTCTAATATTCTTTTTTATCTACATGTTCGTGTTAATGAAGAGAAAATGAGGAATGAACTGAACGGATATTTTCGTCCGGTCCGAAAAACCTCTGCCAAACTAAAGAATATTTGGTCATTCTATAAGCCGCGTGGTTCTTGGTTATGTTGTGGTATGGCCTAAAAATGAACACAAAAAACCTGGGAAGAAATGGCGCGTTCAAGAAAAAACTGAATGTAAAGGGTGTGGCAACTATAGTTGCCACAATGTCCATTGCGGCGTGCAAAACGCGGCAAACCTAGTTGCCGCGCTGTCGTCAAGGTGTTAATTACCTCACTACCCCCATTGTGTACAGGCAAATGACTTACCAATAATAGACGAATGAAGTTCGCTATCAAAGTGTCGCACACCAGCTAAAACATGGCGAAGCCATAGAAGGGCGAGGACATAGTTAGAATCCTTTGCACGTTGGATGTCTGGAGATTTTACGGATGCAGCTTTTGGTTGAGCTGCCTCAAGAAGTGATCCCAAAATCTCGTCCGTTAGAACTTCGTGCTCCTGTTCCCCCTTAAAAACGTCAATTTTTACACGGAAACGCAAAAGCCTGATAATGCCGAATACAAACCTCAGAGAAGAATTCCATCACGTCCAGTTCATCCTTTTCTTCTTCAGTTTTGTTTCTATACACAAAATCTTTCTCTGCAGCTTTGGCGATGTTCTTCTCATACCTCAAATCCAATATTCAACAGCTGATCGTCCACAAGTAAAAAATGGAAAATCACCATTTTTGCCACTGATGACGTATCCATTCCAAGTTACAAATGGGATCGTCAGCCGAAGACAGACGACGTCTTACGACGGCGGCCTTCAGATGCAAAGGCATTGGCGATGCATCCCTACAGCACCACGATAGCAACTCAGAACTCTCAAGACCTTCTGCGGACGCCTTGATCTGGAGCCAAAAAAGTTGACATTATGATATCAGTAAGAAAAACAACAAACAATCACTACCTTAAACTTGGTCGGAAACGCAGTGGAGATGTGGAGATCACGCCTCCGCTCAGCAGTTTCAATCAGGTCGCATGCTTCATGCACACCACAAAGGAATATGTCGAGCCCTTGAATGAACGTCATAGACACGTCCACAAAAGAGCCAAATGTTGAAAGAATTCTCTGAAAATTTTAAATTTCAGCAAAACTGAAAATCAAAGAATGACTGAGAATTTTTGTAGGATTACGATAAAATTACGACATCATCATACATTGACACAGCCGCCGTTCAACGCGCCCTTATATCTATCTTATTTTTAGAAATTTTCATCAAAAGGATTACTCTCACCAATCATTTACATTACGCATATCATTATTACGATAAGTTGCTACAGTGCGTTTCAAAAGTATGTGCACACCCTCAAAATTCACGTTTGAAAGGGAACCATGAGGTTTCGTGCTATGAAATCCTTCTCAATCGATTTCTCGTAGTCGATAACCTATCAATGGAAGCAAAGCAGATAATATCGCTTCACTTTCGAAAAAAAATTTTGGATGAAATTTTTTTCTTTGTTTCAAAAGTATGTGCACACTTAACAAAAGACAAAAACATAGCTGAGATTAGAAATCAGTGGGGCCTCCAGAGTTTCTAATTAGCTCAAACATCCTGTCCGGCATAATCTGAACCACGTTTGGCATAGCTGTTTCGTCGCTGTCGGCCCAAATAGCCTCTACCGCCGCCTTCAGTTCATCCGCGGTATTATACTGCCCGGTTGCTTCAAAGTTAATGCCTTGATCAAGGGCTCCCTATAGGGTTGCAGTAAGGGGGACACACAAGCCGATCTATCGCTTCAGCACCATTTGGTTAAGGCCATTCTTTGGTAGATTGCGAAGCATCGAAAGACACGTGGTCCTGTTGCTAAAAATGCAATTTTCGCTCCACTTCGCTAAGGAAGGGCAACAGGTGACATTGGAGCACTGCTTGGTATTCTTTACAGTTCATACGCAATAATGGAACGGCAACTTCTGAATTTCCGCTGATTGCGAAACCGCCGCAGACCCATCAACGGGCCTCTTCCGAAATTCCTTCTCGAGAGCACGAGCGACTCACGGCCAAGCCTCTCCAGTAGTAGCAAAATCCACCCGGCCCGTCAAGATCGAACTCTTTCCATGAGTTAAGATTACCTGAGGAGAGAAAGTCCATAAAAAGTTGCTTGTTTTGAAAATAGGAAATTCTCGAAAAACCGTGTCTTCGCCCGGTGTCCTATCCTATGTTGCCATGTCTGTACGAGCAGACTCCAATGTGGCTAACTTGTGCTGGGCCTTGAAGTGAGTAGCCTTTCTCAGCGTCTGTCGAGTGGTGTATTCATTTGAGCGGATGAGGGGCTTAGTGGTCATTTTCGAGGCTGGAATAAAAATCTGAGCTCGGACTGTCAATGAAGAATCCGACAGGATGTGGGCTACTCTTTTGTTGTTCTGAGCAGTCAAGGATCGTGGATGGAGCGGAGTGTGTGCTGAGTATAATTATCAGGGTGCCAGATAAATCGAATGCACTAAGGAGA